GGGGACTATGTATGCCAGCACCACATTGGTTGTGTCTTCGTCAGTGGATGTTCGTGGACGTCCACTTCTCGGATTGTCCACTTCCAGTCTTTTTGAATTTGTTAATAAGTTTGGCAACAGTGTTGGGTGTGATGTGCTTGCCATGTTTCCTGTTAAAGTCCGTCGCAACCTTGCAACAGCTTCCCGAAGCAGCCATAAGAATGTTTTCAATATGTTATTATTTTGCCAAATGCATTCTTAAAGGCTATCTGAAAAAAAATAATAATAATCATATGTATGAAATATGTATGAAAATAAGTATGAAATATGCATGAAAATTTTTTAAGACATTTTGCTAAAAAGTTTTAATTTCCCCTATGTATGGAGACTTGGGACACCCTGTACCTGTAATCTTTTGGACTTCTCTCTACATTCATCAGCTTTTCACACCTATGTGAAAACATGCACAGATATTTGAATTGACACATACACACAGACACACAGACACACACATTGTAGTTACAACGCATTGTTATAATTCTGACTTTCATATGGCTAGTGAAGCTAAAGGGTTATGGTTATGTGCTTTCTTGACTGCTCGCTGCCTTAGCAAACCAAAAGAGAATACAACTCCAGACACTGCACTTCCTTAGAAAAACACACCTTTACTCTCATACACATTGATACACAGGTTCTCTGTTTGTAGACATGGGTAATGCTAAGAAGTCACTACGTTCTACTCAAAGGTTTGGTTCCTAAAGGGGCTCTACTTTGCTTCCTAAAAGGGCTCCTAAAAAGGCTCTACTTCTTCCTTTCTGACAGGGAAACACTCTATCTGAAACCTCTGAGCATTCCACTAGCAGGATAAAGCGAAGAACTCATGAACGGTTCTAGATTTAACCTTTTTCATTGTGAAAGTCCTGTTGACTTCTGGAAATCCAGAGCAATTTACCCTCTCTACCACCTATACCACTCACCCCCAACCGCACCCCTGCTTGTAGTAGTTTGTCATTTAATAATAAACATTTCAGAATATGTTTGTGTTTTCAGTTAAATATTTGAAAAATGAATAGGAGCCATTTCACTGTAAGTTACAGTATAAGGCTATAGGTATTTTGTTAACACCATATTGCCACTTTCTACATTCTAGTACATAATAGCACATTTGAGTTTCTGTCCTGGTTGTACATGAGTTTAAATAGTTATATTATTATAGCAGAAAAAGCATATAACTCAATGCATCTGGCTTTCCTGAGAATGAGAACCCATGTAAATGAAATACGTACAAATTACATATTTGGAAATGCATGGTGTTATCATCATAATGCTTCTCTTTTATTCAAGTTCTATTCCTAATAAAACCGGTGCACAGTGGAGTAGTACTGATGCATGAAACATGGTTATTTAGAAAGGTTGTAGTAATCAGAAGATCCGGTTGATGTGGTTAGATATGTCCACATTGAGGAAAAAGCAGCACTTGGGCAATTTTTCTAGCTGAATGTTTAAATGTGGCGGCAGGATCTTAGTCAACATCCTGTTTTATTTCATCACTCGCTCCTATTCCCTGAACACACACATTATGTACAGACTTACCTCACCTTGAATACAGTCAGCTTTGTTGATTTCATCTTCAGTGCAATACTATTGTGCCAGAGACAGTGTTATTATTATTATTGAAGGCATGTTACAGGTTTAATATCACAGTTTGAAAGTCAGAGGCCGTGGGAATTCAGTGCTTGTTAGTAATGTGCAGGAGATGTGATAGATTTATATTTAATTATCTATTCATGGGCAGATAAATTCTAGAAGCCATTGTTAAAATAAAATCCACCATAAATCTAAATACTAAGCATTTTATTATCTCAGCAAGCAAGCCCCCACACTACCTCTTCTTGCCAACTTTCTAAAATGTTGTGTGTTTTGTAGAACTGTGGAACAAACAATCAACACCAAACCATTCATTCATTCATCTTCAGTAACCACTTTATCCTGGTCAAGTGAAGTCGATCCGGAGACCATTGCACTGGGTGCCAGTCCATTGCAGGTCACCATGCACACACACTTATACACTCATTCATACCTAGGAGCAATGTTAGCATAGCCAATCCGCCCTACTGGCATTTCTTTGGGACATGGCAGGAAACTATAAGACCCGAAGGAAACCCAAGTAAACATGGAGAGAACATATAAACTATACAGGTTGAACAAAAAAGTCATTGTAATGTACAGTACTTAGAGGCAGGACACAAGTGTTTATAGTCAGGCTTCTATATTAGGGCCACTCTAATATTTGTAGTCATAATCCACAGCATAGGTCAAATTACAAGCAGGCAGCATCAAACAAGGTATATCCATAATCACAAACCAACACAGACACACGGAAACAAGGCTTGGACTTATGCATGGAAGTAACACATGCATGATAAAGGTGTGATCAGTGCATAGCTGATGCTGGGAAATATTCTGTGCACTGAGGGAATTTATGACAGTTATTTGGACTGCATTTGGTTCAAACTGACCTTATACTCTAATTCTACAATACACATTTATGCTTCCTTGGCATAACAATATTCAAAAAACATGTATACACATCAAACATACAAATATTCTGTTAATGGATAGTGATGTAATGAGCAGTGGTGATGCATAACCCTGTGGTTAAATGACATCCAATATTATCCAGTCTGACTATTGCTAAAGCGGATATAATTAACAGGGAAATGCGTTGCATTATTCTGTATTTAATTTAACTTCCACATTTCAACATGCAATAATTTCTTCATTAGAATATCTACAAGAGTAGGAAAATAGAGTATAATTACAGAGTGTCTATGTGGAAGATGATATTTACAATCAATAATATTATCAAATATATCTACATTGTGGATTAAATCATAAATCAACCAAAACTAAAGGAAAGATTATTGAATATTTGTTCACTGTCTTGCTATGAAATATGCTCAACATAGCTTTATTTGCATCTGAGAAAATTATTACATTCTGAGTATATTTCTAAGCACATGGATGTTGTTTGACTGTATTAGGAGGGAAAAATTATATTATGATATTATTAATTTATTCTAAGACTGTTTTCTATAGGTATTCAAGACCACTGTGTGTCTGAGGAAATAAACAAGGAGTGGCACAAAAGTTTTGGGTTTTGCAATCAAAGCAGGAAGTGGTAACTAAAATCATTACCAGTGCTGTAATCCATTCATTCACAGGGAAAACAGTCTGAATATTTTTATTTCTTTATTTCTTTTAGTAAAGTGCTTCAGATTTTTTTTATGCTGGTTCCTTTAACACCTTTAAGTTCATCCTTCACCTTTTCTCTAAAATAATATTAAAATAACTGAAATTCAATGTGTTATCTATATAATGTATGATGAACATGCTTAATAATTATGGAGTAAGTTTCATAAAAAAAAATTGTATGCAAAAATATTCAAGAATGATAAACAAAATTAATTCTATATATTCTGTTTTTGCAGTTAAGCATCTTTCATGGAATTCCCCTTCTTGATATGAGCACTAGAGAATTTAAAAAAAGAAAAGAAAAGAAAAAAAACACAACACGCTCTGTTGCGGGTGTGGGGTGGATGAAGTGGGCGGCACAAAGGGGATGAGGTTGAGTAATTTACGTCTCATCAGAGCTATAAATACTGGTTGCAGGATTCAAGGCTAGACAGAGAGTAAAACAGCCAGAAGAAGAAGACTAAAGAAGACTCAACTTCAGAGACTTTGACAGACTTTCTACAAATCAGTGGCTGAAAGCTCTCACTATGAGAACAAGTATCTTGGCGTTTATGGTCCTTGGGGCCTGCACTTTAAGTGCATGGTGCCTCCCAATTAAATCCACCTTTGTGACCTTCCCCGGAGATGTAATCAAAAACATGACAGACACAGAGCTGGCTGAAGTGAGTATTGCTTGTCTTCCTTCATTTTTTGCAGATTTACACAAATGTATGCAGAACATTGCTAAACATGTTCTGGTAAATAAATTATTTAACTCTAACCGAAAGGATACTTGATAACTGTAGTTAACATGACCATTTATTCATTCATACAGTACTTACACAATATGTATGTGGTCAAATAACACCTCTAAATATATTACAGAGGAAATTACACATGTATGCAAATAAGCTTGCCTGATTGCCTTTTTCTATTTTGTTTGTCTGCAGAGCTACCTGAAGCGCTTTGGTTATATGGAGGTTCTGGATAAGAGTGGACGGCAGGCAGCAGTGTCTACCTCCAAAGCTCTGAGGAGGCTGCAGAATCAGCTGGGTCTGAAAGAGACTGGCAAGCTGGATCAACCGACAATCGATGCCATGAAGCAGCCACGCTGTGGTGTGCCAGACGTCCGCAACTACCAGACATTTGAAGGAGACCTAAAGTGGGATCACACTGACGTTACATACAGGTAACCATTTTAGTGTTTAACATAGCTTTAGCTTTTTATAAAATTTAATCTTTTCATGTGCTTTTGCAAACAGCCGTACTTTCCCACTGATTCATGGAAATCAATAGATTAGAAATTTGATTAGAAATCCAATTGGATCATTATTTAAGGAAAGAGTCTGAGGAAAGATGTGAGCTGTGACGGAAGTGAGGAAAGAATACCCAGCATCAGACAATACAGCTACAGGATTAGGTCAAATGTTACTGATTGTAATACTAATTACCCTCTATTATATTTTCTGTAGGATTTTGAACTACTCACCAGACTTAGACGCCTCTATTACTGACGATGCCTTTGCCCGAGCCTTCAAGGTGTGGAGTGATGTCACACCCCTAACTTTCACACGTCTCTACGATGGCATTGCTGACATCATGATCTCATTTGGAAAAAAGAGTGAGTTTTTAATCATAAGATGAGGCTTTCTACCAGTTACCCAAGAATAAAGCATTTGCTTTTATGGCATTGGGCAGATGCCTTTGCCTAGAGCGACAAGTATCTCATTTATACAACTGAGCATTGAGGGTTAAGGGCCTTGCTCAAGGGCCTAGCAGTGGCAGCTTGGTAATGCTGAGATTTTGAACTCTCAACCTTTCGAGCAGAAGTCCAATGTCTTAACCACTGAGCTACCACTGCCCATAAGGCATAAATCTAGTTAAATCAGTTCTCTTTAAGCAGTGTCCTATCACTGGGAATTTTACAATTTGATAGATTATGAGGACAGGAACAGATTCTTTTTAGTTATTTATGTTTCATTACTTTTCCAAATTGGCTGTTTATGCAGTTGTGTGATACAAATACAAAACAAAAGGGGGAAATGGTTTAAACAGGATATGTATATTGCAGATCATGGAGATCCCTACCCATTTGATGGGAAAGACGGCCTGTTAGCACATGCTTATCCTCCTGGTGAAGGGGTGCAGGGAGACGCTCACTTTGATGATGATGAATACTGGACCCTAGGCAATGGACCAGGTAAGGGTCTTGTATTTAAAAAAAAAAAATTAAAAAACATTTATCAAATTTGATCAATTTACCAATCATAAAAATATTTGTCAAATAGTGGTGATGCTGCACTAATTCTCGAAAATAGAACTATAGTTCCCTCTAGAGGTTTGATTATATACTTACTGAGGATACTCATGCAAACATGCAGGTCTTCCTTCAAGGTGTGAGCTGATTATGACAGTTTCATGTAAGCATGAATGTGTCTTTTTCCTTCAGCAATCAAGACCTACTATGGCAATGCAGAAGGCGCTATGTGTCATTTCCCTTTCTGGTTTGAGGGGAAATCATATTCCACTTGCACCACTGAAGGTCGTGAAGATGGTCTGCCATGGTGTGCCACGACTGCTGACTATGGCAAAGATGGGAAATATGGTTTCTGCCCTAGCGAGCGTAAGTTCTCCATTATCTATGGCAAGACCTGAGCATCATTTCAGTGTATGTGAGATGATAAAGTAACTGGGCTTTTCTCTCTTCACAGTTCTGTTCACATATGACGGGAATGGTGATGGTGCACCTTGTGTCTTTCCGTTCGTGTTTGAGCAGAAAACATACACCAGTTGCACCACTGATGGACGTGATGATGGGTATCGCTGGTGCGCTACTACAGCCAACTTTGACCAGGACAAAAAATATGGGTTCTGTCCTAACCGAGGTGAGAGCCTTCAATTTACCATTTGGTTTAATCACATCAGAAAACCTAGCTATTATGTGTTAACATTTTTAAAACCAGGTCAAAATTACACAAAGGAAGTGCTACAACATACAGCTGATGTTAATTAGCCAATGAAATTATGTGTATAAATTTTGGCCAACAGATACTGCTGTGATTGGTGGAAACTCTGAGGGGGAGCCGTGTCAGTTTCCTTTCAGCTTCCAGGGGAAAACCTATACTTCCTGCACGAGTGAAGGCCGCAGTGATGGAAAACTGTGGTGCGCCACAACCAGCAACTATGACAGGGACAATAAATGGGGATTTTGCCCAGATCAGGGTAATTTTCTTCGCCTTTAGCATTTTATCAGTGTAGCTAGTAATAATATAAATATATGCAAAAATCAAGGATTGCTATGAACCCATATTTCTGCTTGTCACAGGATACAGTCTGTTCCTGGTGGCAGCCCATGAGTTTGGACATGCTCTTGGTCTGGACCATTCCAACATTAAGGATGCTCTGATGTACCCTATGTACAAATATATAGCAGATTTCTCTCTGCATCAGGATGACATCGAGGGCATCCAGTATCTCTATGGTATGCAGATGAACATAGATATTATATATTCACCCATTTTTATAACCCTGACCTAACAAAAAGGCATGTTGGTCACAGCTATTATGATAAACAAAAAATTGATGGTACCTAATAATGTATTCACATCTTTTACCTTATTCAGGACCCAAAAAAGGCCCAAACCCTACTCCACCCAAACCATCAACCACTACATCTTCCCCAGTTCCTACTCCCAAACCCACTAAAAAAACACCAAAGACTACTCCATCCCCGACTTCCACCACAACTCCATCTGTGTATACGCCTGTGGACCCCTCAGTAGATCCTTGCAAAGTGGACAAATTTGATGTGATCACAGAGATCCAAGGGGAGCTTCATTTCTTCAAAGATGGGTAAGAACTGGTAGCCTGCATGCAACAGTACTATCAAGGAACTACATACACTTGTATATATAGTGAATATTTATGATCAAATACTCCCAATAAATAACCACAAGAACACCTGATCAGTCCACATTGTGAGTCTTTGTGGTCTGGTTGGGGTGCTTGAAGACTAGAGGAGGTACAGCTTCAAGTAATAAAATAATTATGAGTATAGCAAGACTCGAAAGTTTAGTCATATATAATTAATCAGTGATCTCTCAGGAAATTAAAGGAAGTAATCTTTCATTCCGATTAGGTACTACTGGAAGTCCTCAAATCGTGGTAACAGGGAACACAAAGGCCCCTTCCTGGTCTCTGAGAGATGGCCTTCCCTGCCAGCTAAGCTCGACACTGCTTTTGAGGACCCTCTTACTAAGAAGATATACTTCTTTGCAGGTAAGAGTCAGGTAGCTTGTTATAATGAATCATTTCTTACATAGGTTATATAATTACTGATTATTTAATTTATCAGAGATTCTCAATCTATTTCAGACACTAGCTTCTGGGTGTTCACTGGACAGGAAGTCCAGGGACCTCGCAGAATCGAGAAACTTGGCTTGCCTGTCAGCTTGAAGAAGGTTGAAGGAGCATTGCAGAGGGGAAAAGACAAGGTGCTGCTTTTTAGTGGAGAAGAATACTGGAGGTGAATATAAGTCTATCTAAAGCTTTCTGATGCTCTTACTTTAAAGACTTGCTTATCTTTTGTATAGTCAATAAGAGGTAGAACTAATTTCCACTGCTTTTGGCCCTCATTCATTTTCTTAGGCTGGATATGAAGACTCAGCAGATAGATAAAGGATACCCTCGCCACATTGACGTGACCTTCGGCGGGGTTCCACTGGATGCTCACGATGTGTTCCTCTATAACGGTAAGTCACTTTTCTCGGCAATCAAATAGCAGGTATGCATTTGCAAAAATATCTGAATATCAGATTTCAATTAAATTTTAATTTGTTCCAGTACAGTTTTTAGAGATCATACTCAGAGGTCATGAATTAAACAAAATACCACTATTTATTATTTCATTGCAGGACACTATTACTTCTGTCGAGACATCTACTACTGGAGAATGACCAGCAGGCAACAGGTTGATAGAGTTGGATATGTCTATGAACTCCTGAATTGTCCCAACTACTGAATCTGATTTCATCAGACTTAAGTATTATAAGGAAAGCACATCTTACTGAAATGCAAATCCCAGATATGTGTTTTCAAAAAGAAAGTACAGTATTATTGAAAGAGTAGAAACTATGTAATAATATCTTATGTGTTTCATTAAGAAATATTTGCCTGGAGCAAATGATAAAGTTAATTAAGGTTAAGTTAGTTAAGGTTATATTGGTTAAGGTATGTTAAAATATATTTTGTCCTCTCTCTTCTATTTCTTCTCCTTATAGCCTAAATTTGCACAAGTGAATTTTTTTCACAATTCTCTAATTTATTTATAAAATCAGTAGTATTTTGTCATATGAATAATTAAATAAATTTTTATTTTAAGTCTCTATATGTTTTTTCTGATGCTTATTACTTATGTTATTGTGATCACCAATGTCAGCAAGGATATTCACTTAGTTTTCTTTTTTGCATTTTTTGCAATATTTTAAATAGGTTAAATATGTTAAACATTGTAAATATGTTAAACATTGTTTAAAAATCTGCACATTTATCCCATATTCAGTACATAATTACTGTAAGCACAGATATCAATTTCACCAGTCCAGATTCACATGATCATAACAGTCAGCACTACTGAGAGTAGGAGGAGTTATAGGATTAAGAAGAAGACAAGAAGGAGGGCCAGAGGAGGCAAAGCAAAAATATGAGAATATTTGTAAAATTCAGTCAGATCCCCTTTAATAGCCCATTCACTGAACCATGAGGGAATACTAATGAGATAGCTGAGAATATAATAATAATAATCAACATCATCATCATCATCATTGTCATCATCTTGATATATAGCACCTTTCATACAAAAAGCAGTTCAAAGTGCTTTAAATAATTGTCATTTTGTAAAACAGTAAATGGATAAATAGCAAAGGATATAGCATTTAATACAAGAAAAGCTTAAACAGAACATTAGAACATTAAAAGATATATGATTAAACTTAATTAAGAGTAAAAATATAAAAATAGAGAAGGGGAGAGGAAAGGCTGACTACAGACTGAAATTCAAACAATACAAGTCTCAGCAGACTCTTGCACATAGCCTAACACCCTTGCTTCCTTAAACAGGCTGCCTCCTAAATAAGAACAACCCCTGACACAAAGCTTAATGCCTTTGTTTCTTTAAAATGGGCTGCCTCCTATATAAGCGCAGACCCCTGTCTGTATGATTCATGTATGATTATCTTAAACCATTTATATCTGCTCAGATATAATAGTTCATTCATTCATCTATTCATCCCCTCCATGGAGTTTGATGCAGTGAGGGGGCTTGTGTACTTCGGTGAAGTAGGGCAGTAGGGCCACGCTTGATGAATGGATCTGAGGGGAGAGGTCAGACAAAGAGCAATCCTAAAGATCCCCATGTACAGTACAAAAATAGGCTTAAGTGTACCCTGTCTGGATTAAAGTCACTGAGATCCACCCTGGTCCCTGTAGTTGCAACATGGAGCCATCTTGTGGACTCAACACATTCAAGATGAAGCGGTAGGATCAGATGCAGTGTCTGTTGGGTGTCAGGCATGTGATGGAACAAATACAATTAAGAAGGCTTAAATCAAAGTAGAAAATTAATTTTAAGATGGACATGAAAATATAGGCTACAAACAGTTGGAGGTAGGTTTAGAATTTAAAACTATTGGCACAATTTCTGCATTACAATCATCGGTACCCTCTATGGAAGGGCATTGGATGATTCAAAACTAAAACTGGGGGGACAATGCCCCCCAAATCACAAGCAAAGTAAAGAAAAGCAGCATTCTGAGATATGCTACACAACCTGGTGACCCAAATAAGTGACTTGAGCTCTCCCAAT